TTATATAAAACAGGTTTACAAAAAGAAGTGATCATATGACGGTTAAAAAAGAGATATCCAATCAAAAGTACGGATTTATCAAGAAACACTTCATATGCCGCTTAACCATGCACTCCGTTCCTGGTATTAATGTTAAAGGATTTTACTACAATAAAGTAGTTGCGCAACACAGTTGCTCCAAAACAGGAACTGATGAATTATAAATTATTTCATAATCAGTATTGATATGTGCATATGTAGATGTCAATGTAATTACGTAATTATGACGTCTATGACGTGTCATAATTAATTATTGAATGCTTTAAAACCATAGACTTACTATAATATTATTTCTACACATCTAAATTGCAATATTGCATATTAAACTCTAATTCTATTAAATTGTTAATCATTGCATTTTTCTAAATCTTTTATCGCACTTCTTTCCAATCTTTTATTACATCTCAGTATCACAGCAAATACGTCAATACAGCATTGCAGTTCACAGTTTTTAATAGTTTATACAGGAAATAATACCGCAAATGCCGTAACTGTCTTGTAAACAAAATTCAACACTTGCTGCGTATGTACGCACAAGAATCAAATATAGTTAACCGAGCATTTCCGAAATTTCACATAAAATCGAAAAGTAAAGATCTGAGATCTTATTGTTCAACTAAATACAAGAATTACAGATACATATGATTGTAAGACATTCTGGTTTCTGTAAAATCCATTCCAGGTAAACATATAAATAAAAACCTAGCAATAACGATAGTGTTAATTAATCAAATGCTAAAATTAGATCATGTGTAAGGTTATACGATCTATCAACCAAAGGCACATGGTTTTCCGCGGTGACGTCTATTTATTTTTAATTTTAAGAATAAATAAATATCATCACATTCGTAGGCCATGCTTCATGCTGCTGGTATAGGCAATTTTACCTTATCGGCTATCGGCTAAGTTATTCTATTAAATCCTATATGGTTATAATTAAAGAAAACTATAAATATGCCTTTTTTGTGCTCTTTGGCATTTTTTTTTACACTCAATTAATTTCTTGGAAAAATAGATTCGATTATCATCAAAAAAAATGGGCTCATCTGAAGAAAAACATTTTACTTTTGATAAAACTCCTGATCTGACTGGAAAAGTAATTAGATTATTATCATATGAGTAGCTGAAAAATAAAAAAATTAACCTATTGATTTTTTCTATTTATCTATTATCTCCAGGTCGCAATCGTTACGGGAGGAAATGATGGAATAGGTTATTTTACTTGTAGAGAATTGGCCAGAAAAAATGCACACGTGTTCATGTTAGGTCGGAATATCGAGAGATGCCAGACTGCCATTGAAAAAATTAAATCGGAGACTGGTAATAAAGAAATTGAATTTTTACCATTGGATTTAAGGAGTTTAAAATCCGTTAAAGAGTGTGCTGAAAAATTTTTGACAAGAAACTTACCATTGCACATTCTGTAAGTTCTATTATAATGATTATTATTTAATAGTTTAAAAAAGTTACAAATTTAGCCTAATTACTGATTTTTATAAGAATTAACAATGCGGGAACTACAACATTGTAAGTAATAGTATTAAAATTCTAATAAGAACATTTTGAATAAATAAATAAGTTAATTTAATAAATATATAGTGAATTTTCACTTACTGAGGATGAAATTCAAGAGGAATTTGGAGTCAATCATACTGGACATTTTGTAAGTAAATAAACAAACAATCCAGTAAATTATTGTTGCAATTGATGAAATATCCATAATGACTAATATTTTATTTTATATTGTTAGCTTCTCACTAAATTATTATTACCAAAAATTAAAGCTTCACAACCAGCACGTATAGTGAATGTTAGCAGTCGTGGTCATCGTAGAGCTGCTGGAATTGAATTCGAAAAGTTAAATGATCCAAATGCGTTGGACTCGATGCAGCGTTATGTACAATCAAAACTTGCAAATATTTTATTTACTAATGAATTAAATAAACGATATCTTGAAGGAGAACAAGTATATGTTAACTCCCTTCATCCAGGTATAATAAGTTTTTTTCAAAAATTTACCTAAAACAACTATATTGATTAACTAATTTATATTATTTATTATTATATAACCCATTTAGGACTCGTAGATACCAACATGTTAAGAATGAACGATGTATCCCTTCCGGAAACTATGTTATCTTCTTCAATTTCACCTGAGGAAGGAGCTATTACTACCTTATATTGTGCTACCAGTCCAGAAATCGAAGAGAAAAATTATCGCGGAAAGTATTTTGACCCATTCGGTATAGAAGGTGAAAAATCTTCGTACACTGAAGATGATGATTTAGCTAAGAGGCTTTGGGAATTTACAGAGAATTTGATAAATGAAAAATTATTAGAAGAATAATTAATTATTTATTAATTTATTATTGTACTTAATTTATATCAATATTCCGTTTAAATGCAATAGTTAAATGAATTTCATGTGACCCCTATCATTAAATAGCGGATATCCGATGAATTAATATTTCTAAATTATAAATGTCAAATTCTTTATTATTGTTACTCTTTTCCTAGATCGCTGTTGTAAAAATTTTTATTAAATTTTCCATGTGTGTATTTTTCCTGTGTTGTCGTATCTGAAGTTACTATCTATCTGAAGTTGCAACTTTAGATATATAAAGTTGCACCTAACCAGAATTATATATATGAAGATCTAATTTCAGGGGCCTAATTTTAGTCAGGTCAACTTTATATATCTATATACATGTGTGCCTAAATTCGGGGGCGATTTACGGCATTACGGCATTGCGGCATTTTTTATATTTTCGGCAGCCTCTTCAAAATGCCTAAATGCCGAAAATAATTACGGCTGCCGAAATTATTTTCGGCAGCCGTAATTATTTAGGTTGCCGAAAAAAATAAACTCATAATTTATTGCAGTTACAGATCCTACTTACTCCTTTTGGACAACCTTATAGCTAATGCTCGGCACAATTCAAACAAAAACTTGACATCCATAAATGTTCATGTCCATTGGTCCAAATTGTCTATGACAATATTTTGCAAACACTGTCCAAAATATATCGAAATCAAAAGCTTATGTACCCGATATTAAAAGCTATCGCCAAATTTTTATCAGTTGTCCCAGAATTTATGAGAACAGCTGTAATGTCTGAATTATCCAGATAATTAAGAT